AAAGTAGATCTTAAAAGTCGAGATATGCCTGTGAATTAAAAAAAACCCATCTAAAACAAATCCAGATCGTATCTTTTGTACTACAAATACTCCAAAGACAATTCATATTAAAGATATTATATTGAAGTATTGCTACGTTCTTAAAGATGATCCAAAACTTAATGGGATATTTAATAAGGAACCATTAATTACTTAAACAAAGTTGTAAAAGTGTGTTCTACAAAACAGATTTCACAAAATACCCTTACAGGTCAAGTTTTATTGGACAATTTTAAATGTGGAAATTGTGTTAATTGTGAATTCACAAAAAAAAAATAATAATAATGATAATTATTAAAGTTCCCTTCATCACGAGTGGTGCTGAATTTGGTTTCTTATTTTTGTACACAGTTTGCTTCCATGCACCTTGTGAATTGGTTAAGTTGAGCTATTAACTTGTTCTGAGAAAGCGGGGGCTGGTACGCTCTGTGATTGTGAATAAACAGAGGGTTGCCAGATTGTAGCCCTTATTCCCCAGGCCACATATAATCTGCTAGCCTGATAGTGACAGAGCCTTAATGAGATTATGAGCTTGGCTGTGCTCTCTCTGTTTAGTCACTGATGGCAAATATCAGCGAAGTGATTACAGAGTGAGGGAACACTGATACACACAGAAACAGAGCCACACACACATAAAGCGCAGTGCATCGTGTCTGTACGCTGTCATGTCCCCGGGGCCCGATGGGTTTTATGAGCTGTGAATAGAGCAGCTGCTTCCTCGTGATCTAAAGGTCAAAAATACAATAGAGGGTCAAACCCTGATGAAGTGCATTCACTACACGCTATAATAGCCTTTATACCCCAGAGGATAGACCTGCATCACACCCTGATACCGCACACAGGAATGGCATGGCTACACTGTAAAAAATGACCATGAATTTAACGGTAAAAGACTGTAAAAATGCTACAGTAAAAACCTGTTAAATGGTTAACGGTAAATTTCCCTACTATATACGGTGAAAAACTGTATTGGACATTACATGTATTGGACATAAATTTTACGGTAGTATACCGTTTTTGGAAGTGAAAAATACCGTATAATTTACAGTGAATAACCGTAAATTGACATTCCCAGAATTCCCTGCGTTACATTTCAAATTTGATGTTTTTTGTTGAAATAACTATGTTTCTTCTCAGTTTTTTCTTATCAGTTTTGTATATTAGGGTTGTGTGTTACACCTAATGTTGTTAAATGAATGTTTATTGCATTATTTCAGTTTCATGTGTGTTACCGTGATGGTGTTTAGTGTTTGTGTGAATGACACACTGTGCA